ATGTCCTGTTGCCGTTATAGTGTGGTGTTTGAGCAAATGGTATGAACAGAATTCTGTTTTGAAGTGGTTACCATCTTCTTGTATCAGCATTAGTGGTGCTGAATGTTGTCACAGACCATTCTCGGACAGCGGTCAGCATCACAGGTGTAACTGCGAAAGACTCTTATCAGAATAAGTGCACAACATTTGTGAAGAAAGATCACAAATGCTTAATTTACTTAAGAGAATTTCACAGTAAAGACAGGAAATATTAACACAAATATTACCATTACAAAAGCAGTTCCAAGTTATTCTGAAGGCACAAAGCTTCAGAACTCCATTTTCCACATGGACTCGATCCTGAGGAACACTACGTAAGATGCTGACAAACCAGCTGTTTGAAATAAAAATCCTCTAAACACATGGCATTAATATTTAATGGTGCTGCTTCCTCAAGAGGCCACTACAGGCTACGGCGCTGTGTCTAAAGGGAGACAGTATTAGTTCTGTGTACTCTGGAAGAAGAGCAGCTTCACACTAATGAAGCGATCAGGGCCTGAACCCTGAAGAAACTTCATATCCTATTAGTGTGCAGAGATGCATGTAAACATAGCGAAGCAGCACACGATTAGATCACTGTGTTAATGTGAGTCTTGTGTCACTTAACAACAGTGGGGCGGTGTGCAGCGATTGAAGTGTTTGGCCAGACACGTTTCACGTTTAATCATTTCAGTATAGTTTCTTTTTGACCCTCTACAAGTGTTATGATTAAACCAAAAACTAGAGGAGAAGTATGCAAAGTGTATGCTAATGAGTTAACATAATCCTCTGAGTAACTATTAAGGGGCATGCATGGGTTGTACAGCAGTGAAACCACCTGACCTTCTCCGCATCGGCTTGGCCGGTATGCAACAGCTTTTTAACTTGGCCAGAAAAGGACAGGCCATTTGGATGTTATTAAAAAACAGAGTTCCTGAAGGCCATGCTACTCCCAAAGCCATCAGGTAATTTGACTGAGATCCAGTGAGTTTAGGATGTGCAGATGTTTTCGCTTTAAAACTGGCATCTGTTTATGCAGACACACTTTATGTTCGAAAAACCACAAAGGACCTCCAATAGGTTTTATAGAGCACTTTCAGCCAGAGCACTCAGCTTTGTAATTGTGCTGCACCAGGTAATGAGAAAATTGGTCACAAGCAGTGTTCCCTGTAGATGTAACCTGCAACATACAATTTTGCACAGCATGTGCAGTATTTAAATTTTTTCTTAGACTGTGCGAGGTAGCCGAAGCTCCTGTTCTGCTTTCAGGGGATGCACATTGTCACAGTTTGAGACTTACACACAGTAAGAGGATTATATTCCATCAAAAGTGAATGCATGATACAAAAGAGTTCTCGTTCATCACCAAACAATACCTATGAAAAAAGTAAATAAAAGAAATACAAGTCAACCTTCTCAGGCGTTGAGAACAGACAATCAGAAATAATGCAGATGTAAAAAAAACTTTTGATACAGATCTTGGATGATTGATGATATGATTAGCACAAACCCCAGACAGAATTATTAAGAAATTGAAGTTCAGTGTTAATTAAGAACAAATTTAAAAAAAACATCATTTACCTTTTACATTTCAGTATAGATTATAAAGTTTATTTTTTAAATATTGATCAAATAAAACTACTAAAAGTCAGATAAGTAGGTAAATCTAAATCAATCAGCTCTTATAAATAACATACACTTTATAAAAATAAAAATGCAATTCAAAAAAATGTTGTCATCAGTTATGGTTCATTTCTCAAGCATCTTTTAAGTTTCTACGAATACACATGTATAAGACACTACATCAACTTACTCAACAAAATTAAAGCAGATGTTAACAGAGCTTAAATTAGACATCATTGAAACATTCTTAGTATTTGGAAAGAATACTACGGGACTGGTTGTACTTTCAGTTGCTTGCTATTTATGTGCTTCAGCATATTCCTCTGGAAGAAACAAAGATTAATGGTCGTAGTTCTTTATTTAAAACAATTAGGTAAAATACATTATTAGGAATAATTGTAATACACATGTGATTTCTGAATCCTGAGTAATATACAGTATAACACAGTTATTTATTTCATTGTTCTATTCAGTTAACATAGGCTCACAGGCAGTGTATTTATTCAAAGAAATTAAAAACATGAAGCATTTCTGAGCCACAGAGATGGAACAGAAAAGATAAACAATGGCTCATGGCTATGCTTGCTGCAAATAACACATTAAATGATCCAATTCCCCATATGTTTCTGCTCTTGCATGTGCTTTGTAGAGTATGTCCCAAGACATTTTAAAATGTTACCACTAATGTTTGCATTGCTTCTGAAAACTGAATTGTAAAAGTATGTTAGACTGTGAGATTACTCTCTTGGTCTTTACAGAAAACACCTTGGTAAAGAAGATAAACCAGTTAGACTGAGGTGTAGGACTCACAGCTCTCACACTGACCACTCAAGGAAGATATGCTGCTTAAGAACAATGTTGTCCTGTATACTGTACTCAAAATGACACAGCTACTAGAGCTGTGGTCCTGTGGCCATTTCCCATTATGCGACAAGGACACATTTAAGACTGAAGTGATCCAAACAGTGTTCTACCTCTTCAGAGAAATGTCTTTGAGATTGAGTTTGAGAGGAGCGTCAAGTAGTGGTGTTCCATAAATGCAGATCCCATGTTTCCTGCTGTACTTGAACTGAAATAGTCAGCCTCAAAAGAGAATGGGCATGATCTTTTTTTTTTTTTTCAAACTTCAGAAAGACCCTCATGCTGAAGCTGGAGTGCTTTCTGGTGTGTCAGTGTATTAACACAGCAGCAGTGGTTGGAGTGCCAGCACATAACCTGGGCTATACATTGCTGCAGACGGGGCAATTTGTACCACGTTATTAAGCTAATTTTGCTTAAAAAAAACAACAACACAAAAATCAATGATTATTTACTGTAAGTGTATGCTATATTTAGAATTTTGTCAATTCTTAACTTTGCAGTCAGCAAGCCAATTTGTTTGAGCACCACTTGAGCACACCAGATGTGTGTTCTTCTGCCTGCAGTGCACTGAACAGCTGTTCAGGTTTATGGCTATGAAATGCCATTTATTGTAGATACAATATGATAGTTTTATTTACTAGAGTACTCAGAGGAAATCAATTGCAGATGGAGACTGAACAGTTCTGAAAAAAAATAGAGGGTGTACAATTTTGTGGAAGCTGGAGGACAGCAGAGGTCTCGAGTTACCTGGTGCTTGGGCACATGTCCACAAACCGGATAGATACAAGTTGGACTTACTGTGTGTTTACCTAATAAAATGGCTATATGTGTCCGTTGTTGAAGAGGAAAATTGAGCTACAATATCAAACTACAAAGTCATTACTGTGTTGTGTCGGCTTGATAATTGCATAAACATCCATCCCTCAATTCATTATCTATACCCCTTTTCCTGTTTTGGGGGTGGACTTGGACCCAGCTGTCATTGGGCAAGAGTTGGCGTACACCCTGGACTGATCGTCAGTCAATCACAGTGCTGACGTACAGAGACAGACCAAACTTTAAAGCTCACAGTGTATGGACAATTTAGAGCCAAAAATGAAACTAACAAGAATGTGTTTGGACTTGGGGACAAAGCGGGAGTACCCGGCTAGCTGCAAACTCTAAAGAGAAAGGCCCTGCCTAACCTGGATTGGAACCAGAAATCTTGTTGCTGTGAGGAACAGCGCTTAACACTGCAACACGGTGCAGCCATATTTTGTCATGTGTTGCTAAGAATTTTCTTAAACTTGGATGTAGTACTACATCCTACTACATTAACATTTACAAATTATGGTCAGTCAACCAGGCAAATACAAGTTTACTCGCACACTGTTCTTAGCTTTCAGTCATGAGACTAGCGCGGGGTGCTGTAGGGCAATAAGTGCTCAGGAAAGTGGCAGGAACCTTTGAAAACACTGTAGAACTGCAGAACAGGCTTTTTAATTTAACATTTCTAATAAATTACACATACATCACCTAGCAACCAAAGTAAAACAGCTCATATTTTAACAAATCATGAGTTTGCTGGTTGTCGGACATTATGTTTCATAACAAATGCCTCTTTGTCTAGCTTTCATTAAAACATATCTATTAAGTATATTTGAAGGAATATTTTTATCAACTTTACACAATTTTTGATGTCAGGAATAGAAGTCTGTTCTTTCGTTCCCTCACAGGGACAGCTCAGGTGTAACAGCATTAAGCCACAAATCTCCTCCTCGCTTGCTTTTCTTTCTCAGATTAAATTCTGTATAAGAAAAGTAAAGTAGGGGCGCGCTGGTGGCGCAATGGTTAGGGTGCACGTCCCATGTGTTGAGACTCTCGTCTCGAGCGGTAGGCCCGGGTTCACTTCCACCCGTGGCCCCCTTCCGCATGCCATTCCCCACTCTCTCTCCCTGGTTTCCAACTCTATCCACTGTCCTCTCTCTGCATTAAAGGCACGAAAAGCCCAAAAATAAATCTTAAAAAAAAGTAAAGTAAAGTGCTGAAAAAACTCTTAATAATAGCGTACACTTACATAGGCATTGACTTTTGTGTCTTCTGTTCTTAAAAGGAGCTAAAATGCGTTGTACAAATGGTCCCATCTGAAGCAATGTATAGCATAACTGCTGGAACTCTGGCATGTTTCTCAATAAAGGGGCCAAGCTGACCGGCATCTCCTGTGGCAAACACATTTACTAATTGTCAAATATATCATACAGCCCCCTTTCACAAATACCTATAATTAAAAAAAGACACACGTGTTGAATTTTATTTTGTTTAATGAACAATTTTTAATTTTAACAATGCAAGGGGAAAACCCCCCTCTTGCAGCCCTGCAACATTGCTTGCAGTATATCTGGACAGTTCATTGCCCTGCATCTGCTTCAGTTCCCTTGCTTACCTCGTGTTAGGAAGGCATGTAATCTCGATTACATGACTCATTTTCTATCACAATTTGTGATTACTATGGTTTTACCCTAGTGATAGCATAACTGTGAAATCTCCATCGCCAACTCCAAGCAGTCACCTGCATCATGACAGGAATTACACAGGCCACAGTCAAAGTCAACGCAGGAGTCATCGTTAGTGCTGGGTGTGGTCTCAGATGTGGTCATGACTTGTTTGTAGCTCGGGCAGCAGTGGTTGGCAACTCTCTCGCAGGAAGCTGGTAGCATGAGCATCATATCGTAGAACCGGCAGAAGAGACAGTTCAGGATTATTCCTGCACAGTCAACTGAGGGAGACACATGGTAGTCAGGAGGGACATTTTCTATTTGTATTAGGTGACAATATTTTAGTTTTAAAGGGCCTTTTTAAAAGACAAAATGACCTCTTTGAGATAATGTGTTACATATTTTGCTCACACCATGTCTCAGGACATAAATCATGTTGCTATTAAGCGCCTGCTCTTCACTCACATCTTAAAACGTTTTAAAAGCCCCCCTCCCTTCCTTTACACATCAATAATTTAGGAAATCATGCCTTGATCCCTGACAGAGAGACAAGCAAGAAAGCTGTTAGGAGGCACAATCAATTAAAAGAGGTCTCTTCTTTATCTTTTGCCAGGAGAATTTCTAAGTTTTGCTGTGGTTGCAGTGTTTTCTCAGCAGCCTTTGCCAAATGGTGTCCCCATGGGTGCTATGAAGCATGAGATCATCAAATGACACTGACCATGAACAGACAGATTTTCATCAAATACATGTTATAGCAAACTCTTAATGGACTTTGCTATAACATATCTAAAAAATGTGCAAAGGCTAAAGGGGCTACAGAAATCTCTTCATTTTTTCTTTTTTTTTTTTCGATCTGCATCTCCGTCAATAACGAATGACACCTTAAAGCTTGGAGAAAATGTGTAATGATATTGAGCTGAAGTGTTCTTAATCAGGACTTTATGGATTATGGGGGATCAGAATATTGGAGCGCATAATATACACAAAAAAACATCAAAATAAATGTCTCTAGAGAGTACATAAGTTCCTTGTTACGAACAATTCCAAGAGCCATGATCACTTGTTAATGTAAAAGACAAATATTTTCATGCATTTTGCATCAATTTAAAATCTCCAAAGTAAAAGGTGTAATTATTTTCAAGCTAAGCTAGAGTCTGACTAATTTCTAAAAAAAAAAGTAATCCCCATCTCATAATCTTCTAATGCACTGAAACTAACCCAGTAGATACAACAATAACTAGCAGAGATATTTCTGGTCCACTGCCCAGGAAGAGCTTAAGTAGTGCTTTAGCTCAGCTATGAGCTGCAAGGCTGAAGGTAAGAATCAAAGTAAAAAACAAAACGGTTGATATACAGTACAGTAAATATCATCTTGAACTACTGTACGTTGAATACAGAGGCAACCGAGTTAACCAGCCACGTCATTTTCCTTAAAACAACAATAAGATAGTGACTACCATATCATTCGCCCAGTTTACTGTAGGTTTTAGTCTGCTGTAAAACGTTTAATAGCAAATGAGAGATGATCGCAAAAAGTATCAGGGTTCAGAGGAACAGTGGTCTTTGAGCAGCATTTGTGTTACAGTTGCTATCCTGTGTTGCTAAGAGGGACTGAACGTCTACACTCTGATTTATAAAACCAAAGTTTTACCATTCTTTATTTTCTCTCTCTTCTGCTGAATCCAAGTCATCAAAGTTTTCATAATCTCAAACATGTTAATAGAGACAGTTTGGTCTCTTTGTGTTGTCATTAGATGTTAATCTGTTAACTAGTTACATACATTGTAAAAAGAAGATATGACTTTTCCCACTTTCAAGACAACATTACCCAAAAGTTGGCTGATATAGGAATGTTATATGCTGGAATAATGTGTAATTCAAAGGCTAAGTATGAATATGATTTTCTTTTTTAAATAACTTGATACATTTGCACCTACAGTATACAGTAGTTCATAGGACAAAAAAACGTTTATTTAAATTAATTACAAATTACAGAAGTAGTTGAAGAGCCAGTTTGGAGCTTTAGACTGAGCCATATTATCTGGGTGACTTCAAATGTTCCTCATCCATTCCTCCTTTGAAAGCAATACGATCTTAAATAATGTTTTTAAAGATATTTGATTTAATGAGTGCATAAGAACATAAACAGTCTGTTGTAATCACATATGCTACTGCATCTGCTGTGGCGCGTCCACTTTGGTGGCTCTTTTTTGTATTAATTTTTCCCTTAGTGCTGTACTTTCGGTTTTTAAATTATTCACACATTTTCATTATTGATTAAATGAACTTTACTTAAGCATTCTCACAGCTTACTGAGGCATAACGCTTGCAATTTTATTTTTTTATTCTGCCTGTTATTTCATGATTAATCTGCATATTATTTAACTTCATTGCATCAGCAGAAAAACTATGTTTGGAAAAGATTGTTACAAATAAGTTGACTGAGTCTTTCCTTTTTTTTAAACTAACCCTAAATTCAATTTATCAAGTATCGGTTGGCAACAAACAGCATCAGCTGTGTGTGTGCAGCCACAGTCATCTGAGCGGTGTAATGAGGTGCTGATCTCACTGACCTCCAATGTTGCTCTGCTGAGAAGGAGACATCGAGTCTGTGGTGGAAGACGCTGCAGAGAATGATCTCCTCAAATACATTTTCAAAGAGAACAAAGGAGAATGAGAGCTGTCACATTCTTTAGGCCGCTGTGCAGTGTCTCTAGTGGTCTCTTCAGGATCAGTTTCTGCAGAAACTCCATTTCTCCAGCTGCTGACCTTAGCCTCATTTTGTATCCTTTCTGTCTCAAAGACAAAATATCAGATAAATACAGACATATCAGTAAAGGTGAACAATGTGATTATATTGAGTATTAAAGGAGTGCTGTGTGAAATGTAATGCATCCTGGATAAGGTTTTAAAAAGCAGCCTAGCACCTTCCAAAACGCCGGCTAGCACCTCCCTACAGGTTCATCTTAAAATCACTAAACATTTACAGGAGGCCAGCAGGCAAGTGTTTGGTTTGTCCATAGCATTATGTAGAAACATGGCAATGCAAAATGGTTGATTCCTCCCTACATAGCTACATAAGACTCATTCTGAACACACAACCCTGCTTAGTTTCCAGGCATACACACCAAAGGAAAACATACACCGCCAGTACATCCCTCAACTTAACACACTGAACTCTGAATTGGAGACCAAACCCCCCAACATCTGTTGCTACAAAGGCACAGTCTCACTGGTACATTTAAAGATATTGTTGACTTAAGCTACTGATACTACATAATATAACTCAATATGAGAGGATAAAAAATCCTTTACAAAGGACTACACACACAATGTCACAATACATTAGAAATTAATTCACAAGAGATAAAAAAAGTAATATGATTTTTTTAAACATATTGCAACCCAAAGCAAAACAACACAATACATTGCCAAGTAATTACTTCAAACGTAAACTGGTTTAAAATGTATTTTCACAATCACAAGAGATGCCAGATCTTGGGTAAAACCAGACTACTGATTGTATTACCATACTGGTGGCACTTAAGCTAGATTTAAACCAAAATATTTGTAGGTATGTGAAACTTCGAGAGACATTTCTGCAGTGTAAAAAACAGCAGTGTTAATGGATGAAACCTGGAGAAACGGTGCTTTAAGATGTAGTACTACTTCCATAGCTTCTCAAACATCTAATGAAGAGTGACCATGCTATTCATCAGCTGTTCCTGTCACTGTACTTGAGAACTGAGTCTACACTTTCAGAAGAAGATTCTTAAAATTCAGAGAACAGAATGTGGAGTTTGGTTGAGGACATTTGGTACCAGTGGACCTGTTTGTTAAGATATGATTTAAATAGGTATTAATGAATTACTGTGCTCGCTACAGACTGTTTATTTTCTTACCACCTATTTCAAATGAATAATTCAACATTACTTTCTCTGTTTTTATTTAACTTTTAATGCCTAATAATTTATTTACACCCTGGACACATTTTTGAGAGTTAAATTTACTATTTGTTTTACCTAAATTGTTTGAAGAGAGATACAAATAGACGTTGCTCAGGGCTGTGTTGGGCATTTTTAAGGTTTGATAAGCTGTTTTTGATATCTATAAAATAAAAAGGGTCACTTGTGCCTCCGTGTTATCATCTTTCATCACATTGAAGTTAGGATTGTCCTATTTTTCTGTCATTTCTTGGTTATTGAATGAGACATGAAGAAGGTAGATTGGTATTTGATGTACAACAAGTTTAAATGAACTTCACATCAGTGCTGCCTGTCTATATGCTTGACCTGAGAAGCAGTATGATGTTCCTGGGTTATCTAATGAATTAAGTAAAAAGGAAAGCTGGTCCATGCCCATGACCATTGGCTGATAGAAAAATAAGGCCTGCAGGCATATTATGCATTTTTTAGTTTTTGTTCCAGTGTTCCTCAGAGCCATGATCACTCATTAGACACCATAGTTACTCGCAGCGGTTTATCTGATGAAAATTTCCCTTCATGTATTGAATCAAAATTAGGATTCAGATTTGCAGCACATCAGAAGCATGGAACTGAAAACATCTACACAATTAAAAGAATGTCTCTAAGCAGGGGGCTGACAAAATCCATTTATTTCACTGCTCCAAAATGGTATTTTCTGTGGCAACTGATCCGCAACTGTACTTTTTTTTTAATTTGCTCAGTTAGATTTTCTTTAAAGCAAAATACTAGTGTCAAACAAACTACTTGTAGTTTGACTTTCCTTATATTAAGGATCAAAAAGGATGACACTGACCATATCATCACAACGCAGATTCACAATTTACACAGTGGATTAATACTGTTGCTCAGATTTTTTTCCCTCTTAGACCGATGTCTTATTCACTTACCTCCTCTCACCCATGTAGAATTCTCCTCAGCAGTATTTTCTCTCACATCGGTTGTCAGCATTATTTCATCTGCCATCTGGTCCATTGCATCACAAATAAAAAATACTCTTTATATGACAAATTCAAGCCAAAAAGGGGCTGTGCATAATTTAGGCCAGTGTGAATTTATGTCTAAAACAGTGTTACCACTGTTCTGGATTAGGTTGTCTTGCAGCAGACTGAGACATAGTCTCCTCGTCCTTGCTGTGGAGGCAGCTGTTTACCTCGACAAAGCAGAGAGCATCTAGGACAAATTACCCTTAACATTGCACTGGGTCCATTTGGCCTGCTGCCTACTGTACTGTAAACATCTCCAATGTTCCCATGACGTTGGCAAAAATATGGCAGATCCGCTCCTATCAACAGGGACAAAGTCAGCAACATTTTATTAGTTTGCGCTAGGTTGCTCGATGAAATAATAATGAATACAAAAGCAAATGTAGAGTGTCAAAAAATAAAACTGAAAATAAATAAAAACTTAAAAACTGTTTTTACCTATGCTAATAAATATTTATAAAGTTATCAGGGTACACTATGAGGGAATTCTGCAATTTAAAGTAAGATGATGATACGGGAGATTGAAAAGTCACTTTAACATAATTGTTGAATAATTATTGTGTGAAATAAAAGCCAACATTGCAAACATGACTGAAAGGGAAAAAAGAGCACTGGTCCCACAGGTCCCTTATGTGGGATGGGTCAACAATGATGAGACAGTAATAAATAGCTGTTGATGCAGGAAGGGGCCCATGGAGAATGCCTGTGTACAGGTCCTAGAACTTTGTGCAGTCCCCCTACACAAGTGCATCCACAGACAACACCAGTCCCTTATGCAAGGCTGTGAGACAGCTGAACATATGCATGAGGCAAGCAAGCGCTGGTTTGTTTGTCCAGGCAAACACATGGTAACACATGGATATTGAGCTGCATTCAAATTCATTCTCAAATTAAAGCCAACCAATTTACTCTTCTAATTAGGCTCGCAACTAGAGTTGCATTTTAATTGATGCCCTGCTGTGTTTGCATATGTTTAGAGCACAAGAGCCATGCTAATTGAAAAATTAAGATGTGAGAGTATTTGTCTGCTGAGCTCTTATTATTCTGCACACAGTGTACATATAAAACCTGAAGAAAACTTCCAGTGTCTTCCGGTTGGATAGAAATGTTCTCTCTAGAAATAATTGTGCAAATCTGAGCCTTTTTTCATTGGAGCATTTCCTTATATGTGAAGTGACAGCACATATCAGGTACACATATCTAAGTGAAAGCTTTCTGACCTCAGCTACTGCACTTACAGTCCACTGCATTATTTACAGCTGTAAACAGGTACTTGCTGCTCATTCCTGGTCTGACTGTGTTTATGTGCTGTGGCTCATAGGCAAACCTGTTACCTTACCTTCTCCGTCTTGATGAGGAAAAAATTATGAAAGCTTGACTGGTTTATCATATTGAAAATAGCTATTTGCAAAAAAATCTGCCGTACTTCAACTTTGGTGTGCAACAACGTTTTTGAAAATAAAAATGTATCCATTTTCTCCTGTTTCTCTGAGGACGGAATCGGCATTGTTCCTCCTGTATCCGAGGTTCAACAACCGGTCGGATCCTCCTTTCCAGCAGCCTAGTGTAGGGTACCACATCAGTGTGTGATGGTAGTGGTTACCCTTAACAGGACTGTTTGCAACTATGTTGCTTTTAGTGCTACCTCTTCAATGTTGGGTCTGGGACAGTGCCTGAGGAGTGGCAGACCTGGGTGGTAGTTCCCTTTTTAAAAAAGGGTAACCGGTGGGTGTGCTACAGTTATTGGGGTATCACACTTCTCAGCCTCCCGGGGAAAGTCTACACTAGGCTGCTGGAAAGGAGGATCTGACCGATTGTTGAACCTCGGATACAGGAGGAACAATGCCGATTCTGTCCTGGCTGCGGGACAATGGACCAGCTCTTTACCCTTGCGCAGCTTCTTGTTGGGCCAGGAGAGCTTGCTCCTGCCAAAACACAGTCTACATGTGTTTTGTGGACTTGTGGTCATGTTGGGGATACTGCGGGGCAAATGGGGTCCAGGGACCATTAACAGGAGCCATCCGGTCCCTGTAAGATCAAAGTGGGAGCTGGTCCTGATCCTATAGGCACAAAGTCAGACACCGCCTTCCCAGTGCATGTTGGCCTTGGTCAGGGTTGCCCCTTGTCACAGATTCTGTTTATGATGATTTTCATAGACAGGATCTCAAGGTGCAGCCAGGGAGAGGAGGGCTTTCAGATTGGGGGCCTCAAAATCCCATCTCTGCTTTGTAGTATCATCCATCAGTAGTAACTAATCCCATTCATACACCGCCACCACAATTCGGGTTTATGTGTCTTGCCCAAGGACACATCGGACATGTAGCCCAGCTGGGCATTGAACCCTTGACTTTCTGGTTGAGAGGTGACAACTCTACCAACTGAGCCACAGCCTCCTTGGACACCAACTTTGTCTATTTCCCAATAACCTTAAAATCACAACAAATTAGTGACAGTTACTCCCTTAAAGTCTTGGTTAAGCAGAGAAATGTTGTTAGTTTTTCAGCATGAAAGCATTCTCTATGTGTGCATGGACTTAGCAAGAAAGATTCAGCAAGAAGTTGCAGAGTTGCATTTTTAAAGGTACATTTTTTATTCTCTTTGAATAAGGTCCCTGGCAAATAATGTTACTTTGTTACGTTACTTTCATGACCTCCATGACATGAATAATAACCTCTTAAACGAG